GGAAGATCAGCCCTGAGCTAACGTCCATGCCGATCCTCCTCTTTTTGCTGAGGAAGACTGGCCCTGAGCTAACATCTATTGCCAATCTTTTTTTTTTTTTCTCTTTTTCTCCTCAAAGCACCAATAGATAGTTTTGTATTATAGTTGCATATCCTTCTAGTTGCTGTATGTGGGACACCGCCTCAGCATGGCCCGACAAGCGGTGGGTCGGTGCGCGCCCAGGATCTGAACCTGGGCCACCAGTAGCAGAGCGCATACACTTAACCACTAAGCCACGGGGCCGGCCCTAGGGCTTTATAATTCTTATAAACTTGTTATAATACCCAAAACAGTTGTGTGAAAAAGCCATTCAGAGAAAGGGAAGATGGAAAAGGATTCCTAAGGTATTTCTAATACATTTCATCAGGTTTGGCCTGTTCACTTGTCCTTACCCATCTACATCCCAGCCCCTTCTTTCCCATGTTAGGCCTCTAAGCCTGGGTTGCTCCAGCATCCTAATACATTACTACCACCTAGTCCTTCCTGACTCCATAATTCTTTTTCTTGCTGATAAGTTAACAATTCATTCATTCAAACATAATTATTGAGGGGCTCTTATGTTCCAGGTACTGCTCTAGGCTGTTCCAGGTACTGCTGTAGGCTCTTAGGATAACATCAATGAACAGCAGAATTCTCTGCCTGTATAGAATTAATTACTAGATATGGAAGTTGGTGACCAAGATATAACCAATGCCCCTTGTAACCATTCTGCCAAGTATTATATCTTGTTAACGTTAGGAGCCACTTACATTTATAATACAGTTATCATTTTTTCAAACACTTAATAAATTGCTGAACTTCTCCTTTATTCTAGATATAAACCACAATACTTCAGGATCCCATTATGAAAATTCACAGCGGGGACCTGTGTCTTCTACAAGTGACTCTAGCACAAACTGTAAGAATGCTGTTGTAAACGACTCCCCAGAAAAAGAAGCATGGCCCTCAGTCCCTGGCAGTGATCCAGAGTTGGCTTCAGAATGTATGGATGCTGATTCTGTCTCCAGTTCTGAATCAGAGAGAAACATCACTATCATGGCTTCAGGGAGCACAGGTGGTGAAAAAGATGGCCTTCGGAATAGCACTGGACTTGGTTCCCAAAACAAGTTTGTCGTTGGTAGCAGCAGCAATAATGTGGGCCATGGAAGTAGTACTGGGCCATGGGGCTTTTCCCATGGAGCCATAATAAGCACATGTCAGGTCTCTGTGGATGCTCCTGAAAACAAATCAGAAGGTAGCAACAATAGAATGAATGCTTGGGGCACTGTAAGTTCTTCATCAAATGGAGGGTTAAATCCAAGCACTTTGAATTCAGCTAGCAACCATGGTGCCTGGCCAGTATTAGAGAACAATGGACTTGCCCTAAAAGGGCCTGTAGGGAGTGGTAGTTCTGGCATCAATATTCAGTGCAGTACCATAGGCCAGATGCCTAACAATCAGAGTATTAACTCTAAAGTGGGTGGTTCTTCTGCCCATGGTACCTGGGGAAGCCTTCAGGAAACTTGTGAATCTGAAGTAAGTGGTACACAGAAGGTTTCATTCAGTGGTCAACCTCAAAATATTACCACTGAAATGACTGGACCAAATAACACTACTAACTTTATGACCTCTAGTTTACCAAACTCCGGTTCAGTACAGAATAATGAACTGCCTAGTAACACAGGGGCCTGGCGTGTGAGCACAATGAATCATCCTCAGATACAGGCTCCATCGGTTATAAATGGCACTTCCCTTTCTCACCTTAGCAATGGAGAGTCAAAAAGTGGAGGCTCTTACGGTACTACATGGGGTGCCTATGGTTCTAATTACTCTGGAGACAAATGTTCAAGCCCTAACGGCCAAGCTAATGGTGACACTGTGAATGCAACTCTAATGCAGCCTGGCATAAATGGGCCTATGGGCGCTAACTTTCAAGTTAACACAAATAAAGGAGGAGGTGTGTGGGAGTCTGGGGCAGCAAATTCCCAGAGTGCATCATGGGGAAGTGGAAATGGTGCCAATTCTGGAGGAAGCCGAAGAGGATGGGGAGCTCCTGCACAAAACACTGGCACTAATATACCCAGCGTGGAGTGGAATAAACTGCCTAGCAATCAGCATTCCAATGACAGTGCAAATGGCAATGGTAAGAAGTTTACAAATGGATGGAAATCTACTGAGGAAGAGGATCAGGGTTCTGCCACATCTCAGACAAATGAGCAAAACAGTGTGTGGGCCAAAACAGGAGGTACGGTGGAGAGTGAAGGTAGTACAGAAAGCACTGGACGCCTCGAGGAAAAAGTAACTGGGGAAAATCAAAGTAGAGATCGAAGAAAAATTGATCAGCACACATTACTCCAAAGCATTGTGAACAGAACTGACTTAGATCCACGTGTCCTGTCCAACTCTGGTTGGGGACAGACTCCTATTAAGCAGAATACTGCCTGGGATACTGAAACATCACCTAGAGGGGAAAGAAAGACTGACAATGGGACAGAGGCCTGGGGAAGCTCTGCAACACAGACTCTTAACTCAGGGGCATGTATAGATAAGACTAGCCCTAATAGTACTGATACCTCATCTGTATCGGGGTGGGGAGATCCCAAACCTGCTCTGAGGTGGGGAGATTCCAAAGGCTCAAACTGCCAGGGGGGATGGGAAGATGATTCTGCTGCTACAGGAATGGTCAAGAGCAATCAGTGGGGGAATTGCAAAGAAGAGAAGTCCGCATGGAATGATTCGCAAAAGAACAAGCAGGGGTGGGGTGATGGACAAAAGTCAAACCAAGGGTGGTCCGTTTCTGCCAGTGATAACTGGGGAGAAACTTCGAGAAGTAACCATTGGGGTGAAGCTAATAAGAAATCTAGCTCAGGAGGTAGTGACAGTGACAGGTCCGTTTCTGGTTGGAACGAACTTGGTAAAACTAGTTCTTTTACTTGGGGAAATAACATAAATCCAAACAATTCTTCAGGATGGGATGAATCTTCTAAATCTAATCCTTCCCAGGGATGGGGAGATCCTCCAAAGTCTAATCAGTCTCTAGGTTGGGGAGATTCGTCAAAGCCAGTCAGTTCTCCAGACTGGAACAAGCAACAGGACATTGTCGGATCTTGGGGAATCCCACCAGCTACAGGCAAACCTCCTGGTACGGGTTGGCTGGGAGGACCTATACCAGCCCCAGCAAAAGAAGAAGAACCCACAGGCTGGGAGGAACCATCCCCAGAATCCATACGTCGCAAAATGGAGATTGATGATGGAACTTCAGCTTGGGGAGATCCAAGCAAATACAACTACAAAAATGTGAACATGTGGAACAAAAACGTCCCAAATGGCAGCAGCCGTTCAGACCAGCAAGCACAGGTACATCAGTTGCTACCATCTGCAAGTGCCATCTCAAACAAAGAGGCAAGCAGTGGCACTGGTAAGTTTTTACTTTATGGAGTCTGATGGTGTTACAACATACTTCACAGTATTGTAAGCCTTATTTCAATTTACTTTTGTTGTAAGATTTGTTTAACAAACCATTTGGATATGCACACAAAGGCCTCTTTTACTCTAATCTAAGAGAATCTTATAGGGAAGAAAGTTACAGTGAAGGTGTTTACCATCAGGGAACAGAGCTCTGCCTTCGGCAGTATTGTTTATGAATCCCACGTGCTCCATTCTCTTTTAGGAATGCAACAGAAAGCAGAATTAGAAAAGTGCTGTCAGGTGGGGATGCTGTACACTTTTCTCAGTTCTGAGTCAAGCCATTACTTTTTTGGTTTTATTGCAACTAAAATATCCCCAGAAATAAAACAAGTATTTAAGTACAATATTCTCTAAATACTAGATACTATATTTGGCCTTAAAAGAGATTTAAGTAGGCATGAAATCCAAGTCACTTAGATACAACGTGTATGTATAACATTAAAGCATTTGACAGTATGTCAAATGCTTAAAACATTTGACAGTACCTTTCCAGTATATTCCACTTTCCTCTTAAAACAGGGAACTAATTCCTGTCTCTGCAAATTATCTTGACAATGACACTTTCATTAAGTGTCATTGGAATGCGTTGCCTTTGCTAATGGGGGTTTTATTGAATAATAGTCCCTTTGGACATAGAGAGGGGAGTGTTTTCATGAATTAACCTTTCAGCACCTAATTTTCTTCTTGAGTATAGTTTATTGTATTAATTTAGGTTTAATTCTTAAAAGAAACAGGTACGTATCTGAGGGGAAGGCTGTTTTGGTTCTATTAAACAGTATGTTTATGGCTTTGCTTTTCTTTGCTTTGGACAATCTAATACTTCAAAATTTTTAAGAAACATTGTCCAGCATGTGTAAAAGTAGGATGCCTACCTATTCTTGGTCTTGTAGTTCATTGTTTTTCCAAAACAGTGATGTCGAAAGGTTGCACTTATGGTAAAGATTTTATACATACCCTATTACCCAGCTTGATCACCTGCTTCAAGATCACTAGATTTGGCTCAGAATGACTTGACTTTTCCAGAAATTAAATTCATCTTCAAAGGAGGGTGACTTACTGTAACTAAGATTATCCAAAAGAATCTGCTCTACACCCAGAGGGCAATTATGAAAGAAGAGGTGGAAAAAATATTCACACTGTGTAGTTAAATAGTTAAATAATGAGATGATTTGTCGTCTTTACATAAAGCAGATGCCATCTTTTTTGCCCATCACAGCATCATTATTTAATACATAGATATAAAGTTCTTCATCTTTTGTTCCCTAAGTATTCCTTATTGCCTCTTATTCCACTGTACCTCCCTTCCATATGCTGATGACTTCTTTTCCCATACTTTCCTGAAGGCTGGGGTGAGCCCTGGGGGGAGCCTTCTACTCCAGCCACAACTGTGGATAATGGTACTTCAGCATGGGGTAAACCCATAGACAGTGGTCCCAGCTGGGGGGAACCCATTGCTGCGGCATCCAGCACATCCACGTGGGGCTCCAGCTCTGTTGGTCCACAAGCATTAAGCAAATCTGGTAAGTTATTGACAATTCCTAGTAGCTATTTTGTAGGAGTGATCTCTCATTGACTCTAATTAAGTAATTGGATAATCTTTATATCATTGATAATGTATCCATGTATCGTCATACTAGATGATATTCACTATTTGGCTCTTTCAATTTATAATATACATGGTTTGCTCTTTTATCTTTCTGAATTTTCCTATCTTTTCTCATTTTTTTTAGAACTGTAAGTATTAATGATTTGTATACACATCACCAAATCTAAATTATATTTACCAAATTAGATTATCTACAAATAGTCAAGCGATTTTCATGCTATCCACCATAAGAGACTGAATATAATAGTCATGGGGACACATATCCAAACTGTCTTTCTAAGGTTCCAGATGATTCCCAGAGTATTATACGGAAAATGAGCACAGTTCTGGAAGGACCTCTGATATTCAGATGAATGTTGTCACTGTCCCATAGATCATATATGGGATACCCCATAGGAATTCCAAAGGCCAAGTATAGAGATAAGATATTCTCTGCTTATGATATACAATAATTTTTGGTCACTTTCCTTGAAATTATATGTCAAAAAGAAAAATTCTTTTACATTTCATCCATCCTCTTTGTTCTATGTCTCACCATGCAGATTGTTAAGTGAGTACAAACGAGAATGCCACCATTGTCCCGTGTTTAAGAACCTTCTAATTTGTAAAAGCATAGAAGAGGTTTCATTGAAATTTTTAATAAAAATAAATTCTTGTTTAATGGAACTTATAACTCAGTATATAACGTACATTCCTGCCATGCAAATTTGGGGAGGGAAATAAAAGTGAGTGTTTTAGGTACTTTCCGCCCACCCCCTGTCACGTTAATGTGTGCTCATCCACCAGAAAGAATTGTTTTATTAAAGTGTGTTTTTCTTTGTATCACAAATCCACAATCAGGGCCAAAATCTATGCAAGATGGCTGGTGTGGTGATGATATGCCATTGCCTGGAAATCGCCCCACTGGCTGGGAGGAGGAAGAGGACGTAGAGATTGGAATGTGGAATAGTAATTCATCTCAAGAGCTTAACTCGTCTTTAAATTGGCCACCATATACAAAGAAAATGTCATCGAAGGTAAACATTTCAAGGGCCGAGCCCTTGAAACTTTACATTCCACAGGTAGTTTACCCACAGAAAATTAATGTTCTGTCTGCCCATTTATGGCAATCAGTACAGTCCAGGCAGTCCCCAACTTAGGTATAGCCTCTTGTATGGGCAGCCACCTAGAAAAGCATAAGACCACAGGAACTTCCTTTCTCCCCACTGCTACAGCTTGGGATTTCTCTCCTCCTCTCCCTCTACCAATGCTGCCTGGGACGACCCCTTACCCCAGGATGGTGTCTGCAGTGATGAGGATGAAGAGAAGGGCAAATCTCCATGTCGACTCTTTCCATCCCACTCCCAATTCATCTCCCATTCCACCTCCTACCTGGAGTCCCTGACCTCCCCTTTACACAGAGTCACTGTGCTCCTTATTCATCCCTCATCTTTGTCCCTTCCCCATCCCAAAAGGTCCTGTGACAAAAATCCCTGGGAATGAGCCGAGTTTAGTTTTGCTTTTATATGTGGACACATATTATTCCCAAACTTGACTATACATCAGAATCATGGCGTTTGTTAAAAGTACAGCTTCCTGTACCCTGGACCTACTGTAGTTTGGAAATTGGACCACATTTCTTGTCCTAAACAAGCTCTCCAAATGTTTCTGATGCAGAGCCAGGTTTGAGGACCACTGATTTAGAACACTGGTTCTTCAGAGGTGGTGTTGGGTGCTGGTATCTGATTCTCCTGGGGACCATTTTCGAAATCTGTGCCTAGTCCCCCAGGTGATTCTAATACATCCTCCCCACCCTATGTGAGAACAATTACTTTTTGAGAGACCTTAGCTCAACTAGCTTACTGCCAGGGTCCCCCTCCCTTTTACTCCTGGGATTCTAAGTCTAGGACCTGCCATTGTCATTTTTTAAATTTTTCGTTTGGCTGAATTTGCCTATTGCCTCGCCATGTAGCTTACAAAGTGCTTTCCCATATTTTACATAAATCATTTGATCCTCATAACCTTCTGAGATAGAATACCGATAAGGAACTTGAGACTGGAAAAAGTGGTGACTTGCCCAGAGTTGCATAACTGGTAAATGACAGAGCAAGGATTTAAGTTTAGGTCTTCCAATTCCAAACCCTGTGTTCTTCCCACTGGACCATGCTGTTTTGTGACTTTGTCTTTCCTTACAGGGTCTGAGTGGCAAAAAAAGGAGAAGGGAAAGGGTGTGTAGCCTTTTTACTTTCTCCTTTGTTTCTACTAGTAAAAATCTTTTAGAAAGCAACTGCAAACATTTATTTAGCCTCTGCTGTGTGCCAGGTACTGTACTTGGTGCTGGGGGTTCAAAAACACTAAGATATAAGCTACATCTTCAGAGTCTATTATTTGGGGCATTAGGAGAGCTCTAACGAGTGTCAGCTTGAATTTGGAAGATGCCTGGGGGTGGGATGTGTTAAGGAAAATAGTAACTGATATAATAACTAAAATATAGAATTTCTGGATAGAAGTGACGAGAGATCTGGCTCTGTAGTTAGATTAAGGGCAGATTATAAAGTGTTTTCAGTACCATGATAAAGAATTTGAACTTTGTTCTGTGTAAAATATGGAGCCAATGAAACTGAATAGAAAGCAGCATCAGTTTTGTTTTTTAAATTGATTCTTCAAAGAAAGCTAACCAATGATAGTATGAAACATAAATTAGAACCGAGGAGAGACCAGAGTTAGGGATCTCGGTTAGGAAGCTTCTGCAGTCTTTCAGGTTAGAAGGGAGGGCCTGAATTGGGAAGCAAGAATGGATATATGGTGGAAGGGCCGGATTTGAGAGACGTTTTGGAATAGAAGAGAGGGAAGGCCTTGGCAGCCAGTTAGGCATGGGGGTAGGGGTGAAAGAGGAAAAGGAATCAGATGACTTCAGATACCTCGGGAAGGGTTAGGTGCTTGCTTCAGAGATCTGCGTTTAGGGGGAGTTATGAAGCTGTGTTCTGTTTCACAGTCAGAAGGAACAGGTAGTAGCGATGGGAAAGGGAAGTTAAGGCAACAGACTGAGAATGGTCCTGTGATCTTCACGTTAATGGGAGACCTTGGTCTCTGGTTTCCAGCCTCCCTGTCTGCCAGACTGCTAATCGTGGACCATTCATTCTCTCAACTCATGTCTCAAAATAGTTTGTATACTGCCCATACCCCAGCCAGCCACAGAAAGCCAACACCAAGCTGGAGGAATCCTAGCTTGAGCTGATGCTGGGGATATTGTGTTCTTGGCAACACAGATTAAAATTTAAGACACTTTTTCATGGAAACGTGGTGTTTTTTCGGTACAGTGCACATAGCATAATTAAATTATGGATTAAATTGGTTTCTTTGGACTAACCTGAGAACCTAATGACTATTTTTACCTTGGTTTGGTGTGAGAATTCTACAAATCCAAATTATAATTAATCTTTTAGAACACAGTCCATTTGTAAATTGGAAACTGTCTGATGAATAGTTCTCCATTATTCAGAGGACATTTTTTCTTTTTGTGGGTCGTCGAGGCCCCTTGCTTCTGTCTTTTCCTTCTGACTGCTTGCCGTTAGAGATTTCTCTGTACATTACAGCTATACCAGAGGACTGGAGCAAAGGAAGTTGAAAATCAAATAAGTTGATTTTTAATTGTTAACAACTCTGATAAAAGTTGGTTGGAGGAGAAATTATTGGCTAAAAATGAGAGTTGGGAATTGTCTTGAAGTTTTATTAATCCATCACTATATCCAGATAAATAGAGATGGCCATGGCATCTTTCTACTCTTTTATTTTACAAAGGGAATGATGAAAGGTGGAAACAAACAAGAAGAAGGATGGATAAATCCGTTTGTTAAACAGTTTTCAAATATCAGTTTTTCGGTAAGTGTTTTCCTAGCAGCCCCCTCTCCTTTTATTTTATTTTATTTTATTTATTTATTTATTTATTTTGTGAAGATCAGCCCTGAGCTAACATCAGCCAATCTTCCTCTTTTTGCTGAGGAAAACTGGCCCTGGGCTAACATCTGTGCCCATCTTTCTCCACTTTATATGGGACGCCGCCACAGCATGGCTTGACAAGCAGTGCGTCGGTGCGCGCCCGGGATCCGAACCGGCAAACCCCAGGCCGCCGCAGCGGAGCGCACGCACTTAACTGCCTGTGCCGCCAGGCCGGCCCCCACCTCTCCTTTTAATGGTGGTTCATAAATTGACCCTAATTTCACTCTTTTTTTTTCGTGACAAATTATTTTTTATCTTTGAGTTTTTATGAATATGCTTGAGGTTGGAGTAAAACTGGCCATGAAGTCTTTTTTATTTTTATAGTTTTAGCTAAAAACATTGATCACATATCGTGGGTTTTTTTTTTTTTTAATTATATTAGGCAGTGAAAAATGAAGTTTTATGATCCACTTGAATTTCAGAAACAATGAAATAAAGTAAAAACTTCATTTTTAATTATTTTCATTGATAAATTAAGGTCTGCTAACATACTATTTTTTCTTACTACAGAGAGACTCACCAGAAGAAAATGTACAGAGCAATAAGATGGACCTTTCTGGAGGTAAGAAAATTAAATCAGTTTGAGATCATATACATCATTGATGGACAACATATCTGTGACATGATCCTACTAGAAGAGCACTGACCTGCCCAGGAGAGGGGAGCCCTGGGTTCCTGTTGCAGTATTCCTGTGCTCTCTAGCATACGCTAGAATGTGGTGATTATCTGAGTTGATGTGCCTTTACAGTGCAAATCACTGCAAATCTAAGGCAGGGTAATATTAGTCTACGATTATCTCGTATCTAGTCCTATCAAGAATGAGTTATCCAGTTTTGGTGATAGTCTTCTTAATTTAGGGAACAGTGTGTACAAAGCCCCAGATATATGACAGAGACATCTTAAACCATACTAGAGAAATGGCAAGTAGTTCTATGTAATGGAAGAAGAAATATAAATTGGTTGTAGTGGTGGGAATTAACTTCACCTAGTTAAAGATGTTAGAAAACTAGGTAGGTGCTAAATCATGAGGAGCTTGAGGGTTTGAACTTCATTCTGAAAGTATAGGATTAAAGAATTTTAAGCAGGAGAATGACATGATTTGGATTTATGTTTTAGAAAAATAGGTATGGCTATAGAGTGAAGATCTTTTAGGACATGGGGCTGGCCTCATGGCCTAGTGGTTAAGTTTGGCACGCTCCACCTCAGCAGCCTGGGTTCAGTTCCCAGGCGTGGACTTACATCACTCATCGGCAGCCATGCTGTGGTGGCAACCCATATGCAAAAGAGAGGAAGATTGGCAACAGATGTTATCTCAGTGCGAATCTTCCTCAGCAAAAAAAAAAAAAAAGATATTTTAAGACAGAAAACACTGGCAGCAGAGGACAGCCAAAAGATAACTAAACAGCAAAACCAGTTAGAGATTTGTTGCAGTAGCCCATAAGAATTTTCAAAGCTCTAAACTAAGACAGTAGGTGGGAAGAATCTAATTCAGTGGAGATATAGGAATTAGAATCAACAAAAGCTGATAACCAGTTTGAACCAGTTTGTTATGGAGGTCAGAGAGTGGGTGTGGTAAAGATGATTCCTAGCTTTCTTGCCTGGACAGTTTGGCAGTGGTGGTGGTATTGTGTTAGTCTGAGTCCAGGCAGGAGAGAGAAACTACACAGTAATTTGAACAGGGAAAGTTTAATATAAATATAGAAAATTATTAGAGTAATGAGGGATTGGCTAGTAAGAGGTAAAGAGAACTCTAAAGAATATATGAATAGCAGATATAAGGAGAAGTCACTAACCTTAGGACTGAGATAGCATGCCCAAGGAAGAGTCCTCCTCTCCCACCCAATCTGACTCTAGGGGTGAGATCCAGACTCTTGGGCATGGCCTTGGCTCACTGCATAGCAGAGAAGTCACGGTGGTGCCACCCCATGGAATTGCAGGAAATCCACCGTCTAGGGGAGGTGTCTCACTGGAGGGGCTCTGCTGCAATACTGTCAGAGGGGCTGCTCACCATTGGTGAGGCAAGCACTGCTAGAGCCTGTTGCTGGAAAAGGTGCCTGTGCTGCAGGATAGGGCACACCAGAACCAGGAAACACAGCCTTCCTGTAGTGTCTCCTGCACCCTCTACTGACAAAGCTTCAGTGTCAGCAGGCAAAGGCAAAAAATATGTAAAAGGCCCAGATCCGTTTTTTTCACAGATAGGTCAAAGGTAAATTTGGAGCTGAGAGGTAGTAAGTCAGTAATTGGTGCAGTTCCCCCCACCCCTTTGACTATCAGCTTCCATATTACCCTTCTACACATATTTCAATTCCACTTCAATGGCAAAACAACTCTTCTCTTTCTATTTGACGAGATACAGGTGAGGAAATTTTTGCCCTCTCACCAAAATGAAGAGATGCACAGTCTTGAGTCATTGTATTTATCACTGGCTATATTGTTGCCCCTCAAATCCAGCTAGAGTTTTGTTACTATAGACTAAATTGTAAGGTTAACTTTCAACAGCTTGTGAATAAAATAAAAATGGGAAAGAGAAAGAAGAAAGTGGTGGCCTATACAAATACCCACATACATGTAACAAGCAATGGAAAACTACCACTGTCCTCATTTCTGTAATAGGTAACAAGCTGTCGTTGGTATCTATGGCTTCCTTCTTTCACTAGCCATTCCATACGTGCCGCACTCGCAGCTAGCACCTAAGCTGCTCTGGGTTCTTTTGCTGGTGGAGTGACCCAAACTTTCATTCTTGAAGGGTTTGAGCCCTCAGTCACCCTGCCTATTTTGTTTGCTGTAGTTTTTTATTAACCTTTACTACTGGGCATGGACGTACTAAGAAGTACCCCTAGAGAATCCCCTGGGTTCCAGAGTCCTCACTGCCTTCCTTTTGTAGCAGGAAACCAATTTTTCCTTGGTAATCAGAATCAATCACTCCAGCCAGTAGATGAGCCCTGTTTTTTCTTGCTGGTTCAGTGGCATAAGAAGTGGAAAATGTCCAAGGGATAGTTTTCGTCTTCTAATTCGGTGGAACCATCGTGTCTTCTGGTGGAAGCATTTTCTCTCTAGAGGACTAAAATCTCTAAACTTGTAGAGTTGCTGGAGCAGGAAGCAAGAATTCTCCAAGTGGCTTATTAGGTGTAATGATGAGAGAAGCTACTCCTACTTTCACCTTTTAATTCCCAGACCTCTGTATTCTGATAATATGGGAGATACTTACTGTGTCCTGTAAGACAGAAGCTCATCCTTTTAGGATGTTGTCTCTCAACTTGATTTGTAACTGAGTCTTCAGTAACCAGTTCTACCTATCAGTTTGGCTAGCTACTTTTGGATGATGGTGTATGTGGTAAGACCAGTTAATTCCATGGGCATGAGCCCATTACTGTACTTCCTTTGCTATGAATTGAGTTCCTTCATCAGACAGAGTGCTGTGAGGAGTGCCATGACAGTGGATAAAGCCTTCTGTGAGACCATGGATGGCAGAAGCTTTACAGGCAGGAAAAGCAAATACATATCCAACATATGTGTCTATTCCTGTGAGGACAAGGCTCTGCCTTCTCCATGGCTCACTGAATGGCAGAGAAGTTGCTGTGATACTGTGCTGGTGGAACTTGCTGGAAATCTGCCCTCTAAGGTGCTGGGAAAAGTTGTTCAGAGAGAGAGCTCACCAGACACTCTGCTACACAGCAGTTTGGAGGTATGTGGGAATGCTGGGAGAGTGTTGGCCACTCAGCTGGCCACTGAGTGTTGCTGACCACCCTGCGCTGTGAGAGGAGAGCACTGGAGAAAGGGCGAACACTGCCAAAGCCAAGTGGGCACGTTAGACCAGGAAGCAAACTGTTCTCCTTCGGTGTCTCTGCAGTGCCCTTTACTGACAAAGCCTGAGTGCCAGCTGGCCAAGGAAAAAATTGTAGGGCCCAGATGTTTTCACAGAGCAGTGAAAAAGCATGAATTTGGATCTGAGGGGTAATGATAACTGGCCATTATTTGAGATAAGAAATATAATAGGAGTAACAGGTTTGATAGAAAGATATTGAATTTAAAGTTGCTATTAAAACCATGTAGTGATGTCCAGTAAGCAGTAGAAAATCAGGATGTGGAGCTCGGAAGAGACAGCGTTGGAGATGTGTGACTAATTAGACGTTGATGGTAGTAAAGCCTCAAAAATAGATTGACCAGAGAAAATTGTAGAGTAATGGACCAAAGACAAAATCTTGGGGGAACAGTGACATTTAAGGAAAGATCTTGAGGAGAAATGGGACAAGTTCGAGTAGAACAGAGTAATTTTTCAGAAGCCAGGTGAGAAAAGAGATTTGAAAAGAGGAGCATGGTTGTCAGGGACTGGATTTGACACTGGGTGTTCGGATGAGTCATTGGTAACTTTAGCCAAGGGCCTTCTTAGAGGATTGGTAGGCTAAGGGGAGGCTGCCACATTTGGCACTCAGACCATTTCTAAAGGGTTGCAGAAGTTTTGGAGGAATGGTTTGTGGAGAAGATGTAACATGCTACTCTTTTAAAAGATATTATTTGGAGAGGCAAAAATAATGTGGATTATCAGGAAAAAACAGCTTGGAGAGAGACTTAGCAAGAAGAGTTGGCTGGATTTGGTATAGGATTAGATGTGGAGAGTGAGGAAAAGAGTTTGAGATAGCTAGGTTGGGTGTATCAGTGAATAGTGATGCCATTAACAGGGAGAAAGAGAACAGAGGAGAAGTTGTTGCAAAGGATTCTTGACATTCAAGGGAGAGCTCTTACAAGAGCTAAAAGGTGGATTATTTGGGTATCTGACCCATAGCTGCAACAGTACTTTAGGAAATGAACAGCATTTTAAAATTGTACCTATTTTAAGAATCCTTTTGTTAAAAATTTTTCCTTTCTACTTTCCTGGAATGAGGGTAGTAAAAGTGAGTGTTTATTATAATGGTCGCAGCAGCAGCAGACATCTCAGAGAAGGACAGAAATTGCAAAGAAATGATGGATGAGATTTGAGGGTTAAGAAAATGTGGAGAATGAGGAACAAGGAGATGGGGGAAAAATGGTATTTTTTCAAGTTCAAAACCAAGGTTTCAAGGATATGTGACTCGGAGAATAAAGATACCACTTGCATGTCCCATGAAGGAAGATCTAGAGGGAAATACTGTGTGCTTGGTTTCACCTATTAGAAGTGACAATGGTGCATTCAAGTGGCTATGCTTTGCAGGCAGTTAAAGATGTGGGAATGAGCTCAAAAGTGAAGGCAAAGTAGACATTTGTATTTGAGGGTCACTTCAGTGGCAGTGAGTGTTGATACCCTGGTGGTGAATAAGTCTAAGGGAAACAAGTTTTTAGAGAGAGAGTCAAAAGACTGAGACCTTGAGTATACTGAGTAAACCTTGGTATATCCCAACACTGAAGAAACACAAAGAAGTGGGCTCAGCTGTGGAGAGAGGAGAAGGCAGATGGGCATATGGTAAAGATGTGGAGACAGAGAGCTGTGTCCACTTTTAAAAGATGTGTTGAAGTAGGATGGTAGCGTAGGGGCTGACTGTTGCAAGCAAAGAAGATTTTGTAGGATGGGGTTTCCATGAGAGGAGGTCATATTTATTGCAGAGAAGTCAGAATGAGGAGAGTAATGGACAGAGTGGGGGAGGTGTTATCCTGTCTGGTCTCCAGTTTCCCCATCTGCTCAGTGGGGTTGATTATAGTAGAGTTACAAGCTTTAAATTAGAACGCACATTTAGAACAGAGCCTGGCACATGGTAAGCATCTGTTAGATGGTGGTTTGTTGTGGTGCTGTTTTTGTTGTTACTGGAAACCATGTTTTTATTATAAAATTAAACAGATTAGAGATGACCAGAGATGTCTTAACCTTCTGATTACTAGTCTGTTTTCAAGTTAATTTGTTCAATAAAATAACAGTATCTGCTAAACCCAACTTTACTTGTGAAGAATGCAAGATTTATTAAATGCAAGTGCATTTTTCACATGTCCTTGACAAGACAGAAGTCATTTCAGTTTGGGAAGTGAGTATTTTGCTTTCTACTGCAAATTTATCTGAAACCAACTAGATTATTTATCTCCTTACTTGGTAACATAATCTCCTGCATTTATTAGGAATGTTACAAGACAAACGAATGGAGATAGATAAACATAGCCTAAATATTGGTGATTACAATCGAACGGTTGGGAAAGGTCCTGGTTCTCGGCCTCAGATTTCCAAAGAGTCTTCCATGGAGCGCAGTCCTTATTTTGATAAGGTAAATTGTTTTTGTTTGTTTGTTCTACCCCTGTGGCTAATAAACCAATACTCTTAATAGCATAATTTTCTCAAGATTTTAGAACATTTAATGTAATGTAAAGTGTTATAATCCAGTGCCAAATCCTGTTACTGAATTTGTAGTTCATTGTCCCATGTCTCAGTTTAGCATAGGAATTACATTTATGTTTTCTTCTTAATCCCATAAAATATGTTTAGTTCTTTTTATGTACTCTAGAATTAACACTAATCTGATCTCTTCTGTTTTCTACCTGTTTCCTGTTGATGCTGGAATGTCATGTGACTTCTCTTCTGTTCCTGCAATGATTTCTCCCTTCCACTTGTTTGCTTGGCTGGTGTTGCACATCTTTCTGTCTGTCCAATCAGGATGGCATTGTAACAGATGAATCCCAAAACATGCAGTTTATGTCCAGTCAAAGCATGAAGCTTCCCCCTTCAAATAGTGCACTACCTAACCAGGCCCTTGGCTCCATAGCAGGGCTGGGTATGCAAAACTTGAATTCTGTTAGACAGGTAAGTCTACATGTGTATTTTAGGCTCTCTGTTGAATGATTTGTATAAGTAATAAGATCTCTCTTACATGTAGTTACTGTATTTAAGTCAATATTACAGTGTAGTAATGAGATGTTTGTTCCTAAAGGATCCCACTGTTATGTTTTTTTTTTTTTTCGTTTTTGTAGAATGGCAATCCCAGTATGTTTGGTGTTGGAAACACAGCAGCACAACCCCGGGGCATGCAGCAGCCTCCAGCACAACCTCTTAGTTCATCTCAGCCTAATCTCCGTGCTCAAGTGCCTCCTCCATTACTCTCCCCTCAGGTAAATAAACTTCTGTATTCTCTTCTGTTTACTTGGAAAAAGAACCTTGAATAATTTGGTATTTGGATGAGATGACTTGTTGATTATCATAATATTCATTGGCATCTTTGAGATGCAGCTAATTCTGAATTCACTATTATTACAAAAGGATCTAGGTAGGGTGAAGAAAATGAGTCAAAGATAATTTAAATCTAAAATTTACCATTGTCTGCCACAAAACATCTTGAGGGGAGTGAGGACAAAAGCAAAGTAAATTGGCTGGTTTAAGATTCATCTCTGTCCTCTTATTTAACCCATGAATTTATGTGTGAACAGTAAATTAGTACGTAAAGCAAAGAAAGACAATTACAAAGAATATAACACACACCCCCAATAATAGTCCACAATTTAATTGTTCTATTGATAATTTAAAATATACGGTACATTTAGTAGTTTGAATTATTTTATCAGCATTATTAACTTACCATTGTGATCCTAAGGTTCCAGTTTCATTGCTGAAGTATGCACCAAACAACGGTGGCCTGAATCCGCTCTTTGGCCCTCAACAGGTAGCCATGCTGAACCAGCTATCCCAACTAAACCAGCTTTCTCAGATCTCCCAGTTACAGGTAAGTAGAAAAATAGCCCTATTCCGTGTACATTTATTGAGTGTCTACTGTGTGCTAAACTCTGGACTCTGTATAGGAGGTGTTACAGTAAACAAAATAGTTATAGTCATGGCCCTCAGGGAGCTTACAGTCTATCAGTAAAGACAGTGACCTTGAAGGGCAAGATGCTATGTGTGTAAGCCCAGCCAAGTCTAGGGTGGGGGGTGGGGTAGGATGATCAGGAAAAATTTCCCTGATGAAGTGGAAGTTTAAATTGAACAGAAGGCAGAATTCAACAGAATGGCTGAAGGCCAGAAAGTCCAAGGAAGAGATTATTGATACTAGATGAGGCAGGACATCTTGGCACTGACTAGAAGAAGTCATGCTTTTGTAGGTCCATCTGCCACAGTCACTCGGAAGCATGCTACTCTCTGATGATGTGATACTGACGACCTTTTTGCAATCTTCCCTCCAGCGATTGTTAGCGCAGCAGCAAAGGGCGCAGAGTCAGAGAAGCGTGCCTTCTGGGAACCGGCAGCAGCAAGACCAGCAGGTAGATCAGATCCTTCTCCTGCTATGCTTAAACTCAACTTACATATCAATTCCCTTGTAAGAAGAGATTCAAAATGCTTTTGTTAAAATATAATGAGATATATTGTTTATTAAGTCTTCTGTTTGCCCAGAAGTAGTATTAACTCGTGTTCGGTGGTTGTTTACCTTCTTGCTGAGAATGAAGTGAATTCAAAAATGAAGAGGAATATATGGGTATCTGTAAAGACTTTTTCTCCACAGTTTTTCCCATTTTTTTTGTTTTAAGGGTCGACCTCTTAGTGTGCAGCAGCAAATGATGCAACAGTCCCGTCAACTTGATCCAAACCTGTTGGTGAAACAACAGACTCCACCATCTCAGCAGCAGTCACTCCATCAGCCAGCCATGAAATCTTTCCTTGAAAATGTCATGCCCCACACTACACCTGAGCTGCAAAAAGGGCCATCACCAATAAATGCTTTCAGCAGCTTCCCTATAGGTGGGTTTCTCCTTGGTGAAAACATTCAGCAGATGCTTAGGAATCACAGGCTTATATCCTTCTCTTACCTTGACAGTTTTATTCCCTCGTGAAAGCCACGCTGGTACTTAGCTGTTCCCTCTCTGAGAGTTGCCGTACCTTTTCTAGGTTTATTTCACCTGTCTTCCTGCTTCAGGGAAGGCCTCTGTCTGTTCAAAAAAATCACACTATGTCAAAAATTGTACATTCATTTAAAGTGGGTTAGAATAAAGATATTTCTTTTTAAGACCTAGCTATCTTAATTGTAGGATATTAAGGGGAGAGGACTGAAATTATTGCTATTAGAAACAGCATACCAGAGAAATTTTGAGCAGTGCTGCTTTGGGGAAACAACCGTAAATAGTCACATTTGTAGTTTTCAGGACCTAAAATTTTCATTATTGTCTGAATGTTTATAAATGATTACTGGTATAAATGTAGAAAATGGGAGTCAGAGAAGGGATTGCCTTTATCACATTTGCAATAGCTTCCCCCCTTCCCCTTTTTCATTATGTCTCCAGGCTTTTATTCCTTCTGGAAATTTTAGGTTTATATGTTTTCTCCTTCCTTACGTCCCTTTTCTTCCTTTGCCTTTGATTATATTTTGACCCTTGATTGTTCAAACCCTGTTCATTTTTCTTTTTCTTTTTCTCTTTTCCCTTACAATGGTTTCTCATAAATCAGCTTTGTTGGTTGCTAGCTAGCCCAACTGTGCTGAAGATGGTTAGTTAACTAGAATGTTCTGGGCTGCAGGCAAGGATTGGGGCCTGCTGCTGCTTCACTCTGTGGCTGAACTGATACATGATTTGGCTGTCCCTGGTATTGCCAGGGGCTCTCAGCTAGGACATAGATTACACTTTGAGTCCTTGGGATTGTAAGCAATCTCTTTGCATTCCCAGAAGTAGTTCCCTTATCACTTACCAGTGCAGGTAAGGAGCGTGGTGACTAGGTGATCACAGACACAGCAGTATAGTGGTAAAAGAATACCCAAGTACATTGAGAGGTTTTGGTCTCACCAGTGAAGGGAAGTGACTTCTACTGTTTGACTGCATACTGGCTATATAAATTGGGCCACTGAGGAGATAAATTTCTAAATATGGGATTTCCTATCCTGGCTGGCTTTACAGCCAGAGATGCTTTTTCCTCATTAAGAAAGTCTGGGGGCCGGCCCGGTGGCACAAGCGGTTGGGTGCGCGCGCTCTGCTGCGGCGGCCCGGGGTTTGCTGGTTCGGATCCCGGGCGCGCACCGACACACTGCTTTGGCAGGCCATGCTGTGGCGGCGTCCCATGTGGAGTGGAGGAGGATGGGCATGGACGTTAGCCCAGGGCCGTCTTCCTCAGCAAAAAAAGAGGAGGATTGGCGGATGTTAGCACAGGGCTGATCTCCTCACAAAAAAAAAAAAAAAAAAAAAAAAGTCTGCTTTGGGGGCTGGCCCCGTGGCTTAGCAGTTAAGTGCGCGCGCTCCGCTACTGGCGGCCCGGGTTCGGATCCGGGCGCACACCAACCACCGCTTATCTGGCCATGCTGAGGCAGCATCCCACATACAGCAACTAGAAGGATGTGCAACTATGACATGCGGCTGTCTACTGGGGCTTTGGGGAGAAAAAGGCGGGGGGAAAAAAGAGGAGGATTGGCAATGGATGTTAGCTCAGGGCTGGTCTTCCTCAGCAAAAAGAGGAGGATTGGCATGGAGGTTAGCTCAGGGCTGATCTTCCTCACAAAAAAAAGAAAAAAAGTTTGCTTAACTCATGCAAACATCAGTATGGTTGTCTAAATCATACATTGGCAAACTACAGCCTCTTGGCCAAATTTTTGCCAGCTGCCTGACTTTATAAATAAAGTTTTATTGGGACACGGCTACGCTCTTTTGTTAATGTATTTTCTGGGGCTGCTTTTGTGCTATGGCAGTAGACTTGCATAGAGACACTGAGACTGTGTGGCACACAGAGCCTAAGATATTTACTATCTGAACGTTTACAGAAAAAATTGCCAACCCTTGGGTCTAATTGATGAGTCCAGAGAGCAGCGAATGTAGTTGCTCACTCCAAAAATAGGGATAATATTAGAAAATTCATATTATTAAAGTTTTCAAGTTTGACTGACCTAATATCACATGAACTCTCATCAGACCCAAGTGTTTAGAACCATTGGTTTTGAAACTTTAGAATGAGAACCACTTGGATATGTGTTAAACACAGGTTCTGGTTCCCACTGAAAAGTCTTCCTTTTTAACAAGCATCTCAGATGATTCTGATGTTGATGGTCGTCCCTGAATCACACTTTAAGAAACATTGGCTTAATGGTCAGTTTTCTGACCATTTCCATCCTTATTCCAAGAGAATATCTAAGTCTGATGTGTGTCATCAGAAAAATTCAAGTAAATGTGCCTTTGGGGTATGGGATTCTCACCTTTAAGTATAATTGTTAGAGCAGGACATTTTTACTTTTAAATGACAGTATCCTTTGGCTCGTCAGCCAGTTGACAATTGTTGTTTACAAGCAAAGGGTAGCAACTGAAAGTGATTTATATATAATTCTTCATGCATGATAGTCTTGGGAAATAGCTAGAGAGATGTAGTTTATTAGAGATAAACTTTAATATTTGGCTTCCTTAAAATTTTCTCTAATTTTGCCAGGGAATTTTAAAATAATCAAAATTATATGGAGAAATAGTTTTCCACAGTTAAAGCAATTACAGTATTAACAGTTTCATGGTTTGAAAACATTGTATTATCGAGTATTAGAATAGCTATTTGGGATTTCTGTGTGTTGCTCTCTCTGATAACCTAGCCATAAGTGGCTCTTTCTCCCCACGTTGTTTCTGCATGACCTTGGCCAGAAGCCCAGAGTGTTTATTCTGCCTGCCTTGCCTTTGTGTGTAATCATTTGGCTGTGCCACATTTGCAAGATGATATTTATTAAGGGACATTGGGCAGGATTGAAAATGTTAGATTAGTTACATATGTTTTTCTAGAAAATGGAAGTTGTAGTACCAAAAGGAAAACGTGGTATATTTTATAAAGTCTTTTTTTTTAATTAATATTTTATTTTTAGGCTTGAACTCAAACTTGAATGTAAATATGGATATGAACAGTATTAAAGAGCCACAGTCAAGACTAAGGAAGTGGACTACAGTGGACAGCATTTCTGCAAACACATCTTTGGATCAAAACTCCAGCAAACATGGTATAAAATATATTCTTACATTTTGCCTTTTAAAAAAATATCTATAGAACACTAAATTTAGGCTTTTATTTTATAATTTTATTTATTTATTTATTTTTCCCCCAAAGCCCCAGTAGATAGTTGTATGTCATAGCTGCACATCCTTCTAGTTGCTGTATGTGGGACACGGCCTCAGCATGGCCAGAGAAGCGGTGTGTTGGTGCGCGCCCAGGATCCGAACCTGGGCCGCCAGCAGTGGAGTGCGCTCACTTAATCGCTAAGCCATGGGGCCGGCCCAGGCTTTTATTTTAAATGTATATTTTCAAAGCCAAATTCTCTTAGAACCTTTCTTCATCATTAAAAACTGCTTGAGGGCCGGCCCCGTGGCTTAGTGGTTAGTTGCGCGCCCTCTGCTACTGGTGGCCTGGGTGGCCTGGATCCCGGGCTCGCACCGACGCACAGCTTCTCCGGCCATGCTGAGGCTGCGTCCCACATACGGCAACTAGAGGGATGTGCAGCTATGACATGCAACTATCTACTGGGGCTTTGGGGGAAAAAAAAAAAGGAGGAGCATTGGCAATAGATGTTAGCTCAGAGCCAGTCTTCCTCAGCAAAAAGAGGAGGATTAGCATGGATGTTAGCTCAGGGCTGACCTTCCTCAAAAAAAAAAAAAACTGCTTTATTAGTTAGTTTAAAAAAAGCAAAATTAACTTTTATTATGCTATTGTAAAAAAACAGATCATATTATACATTTATTATTTTTTTAATTCCCCTTTTGATGATCATTTAGGTTTTTGCAATTGATTTTATTGTTCTAAGGTTCTGCTTAACATTTACTCAATTTAATCTGATGTAGGGTATTAAAAACTTCCATCATAATTTGATTTCTATCAGTTTCTTGTATATTAGCACATTTTATTTTATTGCTGTATGTAAATCATATAGCTTCAATATTGTCTTCTCATCAGTTAATTTTTTTTTAGGAATATCATTTTCATCTTATTTAATATTATCCATTCATCTAGAAAATGTTAGTGGAATATTTTCTGTTTTCCAAGGACTGTGCCAGGCCACCTGGAATACGTAGATACATGTCTGCATACATGCACACAATTGAGCATATGTAAGCAAGTAAAAATACTTGGCCCTGAAGGTGCTCATTGTTTGATAGCAAAAATAAACATGTAAACAGCTTTAGTACACTGTGGTAGGTATTATAAAAGTTAATACATATAGTAGTACAAAAACAGTATAATAATGTGAAATCCATTGGAGGGTTGAGTCAGGAATAGCAAACTGGATGTGGCGGGTCTGGAAAGGCTTCATAGAGACTCATCTGAACTGAGTCTTTAAGTTTACTAAATGAGTAGAAAAAGAACAACAAAGACTATAGCATATGAATCAAAGACAGGACAGCTGATGAGTTGTGTTGTGTGGACATGTCTGGAGGTGAAGGTGCAAATGAGAGAAATGAGGAAGGTAAAGCTGGAATAGTAGCTATGGAGCAAATCATGGAAAACTTTTATGCCATAAATCATTTTAAACATAAAAATGGTGGATATCTAGAGGCATGTAAGACTTAAAGTAGTCAAAGTGAGAGAAAGAGGGCAATGGACATGAGAGGGAGTGCACTGAAGAGACTGTTAGACTTAAGGGCAAAAGGGCTTGGTAACTAACTTAACTCGTTCTATAAATATATGATCATCTATAATGTTCTCCTGTATCTCTAGCCCCCTTCAGTCTAACCCCTTGACCTTTAAGACTTCGCTCAAGAGTCATTTCCAAGGAGCCTCCTCCAGGCTTTGTACTCCCATAGCACGTCTGTATAGATCTCTGTGTTGTGTAAGTATCCATTTAGGCTTGTCTCTGATGTGGGACATAAACTCTTGAAGGAGAGTGCCCACGCTTTGCTTACTTGCATCCCCATTGAGCACATTGCAGCACTCGGGGAACATTTGCTGGATGAAAGGATGAGTGCGGGCCGGCTCCGTGGCTTAGCGGTTAAGTGCGCGCGCTCTGATGCTGGCGGCCCGGGTTCGGATCCCGGGAGCGCCCTGAGGCACCACTTCTCCGTCCAACGTGAGGCCGAGTCCCACGTACAGCAACTAGAAGGATGTGAACCTATGACATACAACTATCTACTGGGGCTTTGGGGGGAAAAAATGAAAAAAAAAAAATTTTAAAAAAAAAAAAAAAAAAAAAGAAAGGATGAGTGGATGATAATGCAATTAATGGTAGAGTAAATACAGGAATCGAAGTAGGCTTGGTGGGACAGATAATGAATTGATTTTAGACTTGTTGAGTGTGGTATTTTGGGGATAGCTCAACATGGAAAAGCCCAGTAAGAAATTAGAAATAGAGGCCTAGCACTCAGGAGAAAAATCCGGGCTAGAGTAAGATTTGGTACTCATCAGAATGTTGAGGTTATGGACATGGATGAGGTTGCCCAGAGGATAGAGCATAGAAAAGAACAAGGACAGAATCCTGGAGCAACTAGTAGTGAAGAAACCTGGAAAAGAATGAATGGAGGGATAGAACATGGAGACCCAGAAAAATGTTTCTACCATATGGTTTTCTTTGTTTTTTTTTTTTTTTTGTGAGGGAGATCACCTGAGCTAATATCCGTGCTAATGCTCCTCTTTTTGTTGAGGAAGACTGGCTCTGAGCTAACATCTATTGCCAATCCTCCTCCTTTTTTTCCTTCCCCAAATCCCCAGTGGATAGTTGTATGTCATAGTTACACATCCTTCTAGTTGCTGTATGTGGGACGCGGCCTCAGCATGGCCGGAGAAGCAGTGCATCGGTGCGCCCCCGGGATCCGAACCCTGGCCGCCAGTAGCAGAGCGCACGCACTTAACCACTCAGCCACCGGGCCAGCCCCTACCATAGGGTTTTCTGTCTTCTCAGGTTAACATGAATTTTCCCAAATCTGTTTTGCATATCTGAGCCTCAGTTTCTCTGTAAAAGTGAAATTTCCCTTTCCTACAACATCAGTGAGTTACTGTTGTAGCTGTAACATATATCGTATATTCTCAAGTGCGCGGCATACTTACATAGGGCGTACTGGTATACAGTATGCGTTATATACATGGGGTGTCATCATGCAGCATAGGTTTTGAAGTCAAATACACTTGGGATTCAATCCCAATTCTTAAAGTCGTTAAGTGTTATAGTGTTTGCATCTTGATCATAGAATTGTTGAGAGTATTAAATGAGATGATAATTGTTAAGCTCTTATCTCATTGCCTGGTGCCTGACAAGCAGGCAGTGGGTGGTGGTGGTGTTTTCTTATAAGCAGCAGCCTATTCTCATGTTTGTTTTTTATTCAATTCAGTTAATAAAAGTAATTTTGTGGGTGCTTTTTGGCTGGGAAGGATTCACCCTGAGCTAACGTCTGTTGCCCATCTTCCTCTCTTTTTTGTTTTTTTTTTTTTGCCCCCCTCCCCGAAGCCCCAGTACATAGTTGTATATTCTAGTTGTAAGCCATTCTAGTTCTTCTATGTGAGCTGCTGGCACAGCATGGCTACTGACAGATAAGTGGTGTGGTTCCGTGCCCAGGAACCGAAGCTGGGCTGCTGAAGTGGAGTGCGCTGAACTTTAACCGCTAGGGCCTCAGGCCTGGCTCTGTATTGTTTTTTTTAATTCGAGTGTTTAATTTTGTATTTCTATTTATCTTCTCTTTTTTTAAACTTAATGTCTGGTTTTTATCATTTTTTTCACTGTGCATTTTATTGCATAAACTGTTTTCTCCTACATAAATCTGGAATGTGAGCAGTGAATTTTTAAGTTTTTTAGTAATTAGCTTAAACAATAAATATTTTATTCCTGTATATATAGCAATCTAATGAACATATTCTAGTAACAGTCTCTTCTTCAGAATGAGAGAGAGAGAGTTGATGGTTTTTCTCTACTTCAGTCTAGATTCCTACTATTCTGTATTTACTTAGTTTGCTGTCTTGAAACTGTCATTCTTTGTTTTTTAGAATTATTTTTCTTTTTTTTTTTTTTTTGTTTTGAGGAAGACTGGCTGTGTGCTAACATCTGTTGCCAATCATCCTCTTTTTTTTTTTTTCTTCTTTCTCCCCAAAGTCCCAGTACATAGTTGTGTTTAAGAGTTGTAGAGTTGTAGCTCTTCTGTATGGGACACCACCACAGCATGGCTTGATGAGTGGTGAATAGGTCCGTGCCTGGGATCCAAACCGGGGAATCCCAGGCCGCCACCGAAGCAGAGCTCGAGAACTTAACCACTATGCCACCAGGCTGGCCCCTATTTTTTTTATTAGTAATACAAATTACTTAATTTTTATATGCTTCCACACCCCTAAAATGTTCTCATTTTCTTTACTTTAGCAGGTGATAGTTGATAACTAATCTTAACCAACCCAAGGCCAGTAGTCTTCTTTTCATGGATATTATTTTGATATCTCCAGGCTTCTATTTTATCCCATAAAAAATCAAGAATGTTTGATGGGATTTCTTCTGTTTGGTTTCTTTTATTCTTTCTTCATTGTTGTATTTTTTTCTTCCTTGTGAAAATGACTTCAAAAATATACCTCGGTCTGGTAGTGGTTTTGGTCTTCATCTCTAGAAAGAAAGACAGTTTAGTTTTATATCTGTATATGAGAGACCTCTAAAGTTCAAGTCTTAAAATGTTGACTTTTTTTTAAGCTGTTTAATCTGTTTAAGAAAATGCCTTTTCTTATTGTAATAAACCTCCAATTATTTATACTATCATTTTCTCCCAGAACCACTCCTTTTTGCTCGGTATCGCTTTTCCTTCTCTTAGTATCTTTATCTCTCTCCTGGTGGAGACTTAGAATCTTCCTCTCAGGCATATTCTTTTTATTTGCTTTGTTTTCCCTTTTCCTTATGTTAAAAAAATTTAGAGAAATGTTAATCATCATATTTCCATTATTAATATTTTGGTGTAGTCTCTTCTTTTTCCCTTATAAAAATAAAATAAATCAGCATCTAACTGTGTTCAGGAGAATTCCAGCCAATGGCATTCCCAGCCAGTCCCC